ATCTGAACGCACATTAACTGTTGATGCACGCACTCCCATAAATAAATAATTGACGTTATTACCGAGACCTGCCTCTAAACTTGAGTTCGACCGAAATAGCAATTGGTCAATTCAGGATGATTAAAATCGTGTGACCCCTCCTAAGTAGACGTGAGATCAAAAGCCATAACATATTGATTATCATATTTAGCGAGACACAAAATCAGGATCTTCATGCGTATTGTAATAAATTCTTTTATTGTCTGAAGTTGAGATTGGAGTTCCGGCAATGTGTAGGCTGTTTCTTTATACTCTCAGTCAACCCAAACTTCTGGTAATGAAAAGAAATTGTAGTGGTAGTACGCAAATATGCTTCGTTTATGCTCATTGCTACTATCATTCTTTGAACAGATTCTTTTGCGAAAACATCCTCTTGTCGCCAGCTTTGTACTCCTGCAGTTGCGAAAAACGATTTTGGCACTTCTTCAAGGTAATTGTAAATGGCCTGGTTCTCAATGTTTTTTTCTATCGATGAGGGAACATTGTCAGTCACAATCATCTTTCTGACATAAAAACTAGCTTCGATTATTTGTACCTTGTAGTGTTTAGCTGCATCTTCAGATATAAAAACAAAATCACTAATAGAACGTCTAAGAGACGATCTTATTGTCACACCGCAAAGTAGGTATTGTCACACGACAAGAAATCGCATGCAATGTTATCAAATAGTTTAAGCTCGTTCGAGGCTGCAACGAGAGCTCTACGCTACGCAACATCCTCAGCTATCCTTCCATTACCGTCAATAGCTGATGGATTTTCTTCATAATAATATCCTTGACAAGCCAACCTTATTTTCTTGGCTTCATTACCGTATGAAAACTCGGTCTCAAACCTTAATGGGCAAATTTTGCGTTAGTAGTTGATATTTTCTCGCCATTCAGAGACAGTATACACACAGAAAATAATAAAGATAAAGGATTGTTAACAAAATATGGCGCATCTCTGCTTGTCGCCTGTGTAGCACACGTTCGAAGCAAGGTTCCATTGATGCGCATAACTCGCTCAACTATTTCCAAACGAGTACGGTGAAGATCGATGAAACTATTTCTGTCGCCGAGTACTTTAAACTCGAACATAGGGCCATCACGAGAGTAGAACGGTCCAATTTTTTGGGGTAAAGCATTTTCAAAAAAGACAAGTAGAGGCACTTTTTCAAACAAGTCCAACGAGCTGTGAGTTGCTTAATTCGCGATTAAATGATAAACTGTTTTAACTCTTGTAAAGATATCGGAGCGACTTCTCTGTGCAGTTGGTTTTCTGGGAATGACGCGTTTTTTTTTTCAGTTCACTGCCGTTGTTCTCTTCGGATGACTTTTTCGAGATCTACCTCCTCCTCCTATTTTCTTTTTTAAATCTTTTATTATAACGGTGCTTTTGAGTGCATGTTTAGGGCTTTTTCTTTCACCAAAATGTTTTATGTTTAATACCATTATCATGAAGTATGCGGTTTGTCTTTATCATATGAGTGTTTCGGAATCCTTTTCACTAGATGGAGTCTTTTACTAAAAAAAATCGCAATTTTTTAAGTAAATTTTTCTTTTGAGTATTTCCAGTTTTAACTGGTACGTTTCCATTGACTACATTGAGCAGACATTCGCAAATAAAACTTATGATCTCGCGCTTTGAAGTTTTTCTAACAAATCTACTTAGCTGGTCAGGTTTTTATTGTACCGTATGCTGCAAAATAGTTAGTTTTTCTTTTTCATTTGTGATTGGCGTCGTTTTTGCTCCAGATAAGGGTAAATAAAAAACTGTTGGTCCAGGTTGCGTGACATTTGAACAACGGTCCAGGTTACGCTCTATTTTTGTTAGTGAAATTTTATTATCCTCTCGAGTCATCCACGCACAAAGCATTGAATTTGGTGATAGGCAATCTCTCGCTTTTGTTCATTTTCCATCCAACCTGGCTTTTCTTCCGGGCACAATGATTCCTGGAGTTGTAAGGAGGTATTCGTCTATTGCAACTAGAATAATTTTTGAAATAAGTTTTCAACCCGAGCACAACCCAAATTATCTAGGTTTTCAAGTTTCCGGCCCTAGTATTTGGACGAAAACTATCTCTTTTCTTTGCGTTTAGCGTAGAAAACGGCACTAAGATTTCTGAACACAAAAATCTGAAGTATTTGATTCAAATTTATGTAAAGGTAATCACCGTTTTCCCAATGGAGACGGTGTAAATATTTTGTTAACCAGTTGTAATCCTTTTGCTCGAGCTTCAACTCACACGAGGTAAGAAAAGAATGAGCCAATAAACTTGCTCAATTTGTTTAAAGTTCAATAAGGCCCTTGCTCAATAAAGTTGTAATTGCTCAATTTTTAACCACGAAGGCGTTATTCTTGTAACGAAAGCCTTCCACGTCAAGCACAACTGATCTCAAAATGATTTGAGCAGTTATACTCGGACGCCAGATTTGCAACATTGAAAGTACCCTGACAGCACCCCACTATTGGGTTGAGAAAATCAATTTGGGTTAGCTTTTTTATCAAAGTTTTTCGAAAAAAAGTCATAAAACATCATATTCCGAGAACTTCAAGGTTTCGAGCCATCACATTTGTAAGCAAGATTCGCAACCTTTCTCTGACGGCACCCAAATGCAAGGTTGACAATTTCATTTAAAGAACTACTTTGTAATTTGGGTTTTCTGTAAAATTTTGAAAGAACCTTATAAATCGTCGTATCCCGTACACTAAAAGGATTTGGGCAATCAAAATTGGAGGTCAAAATCGCAACCCCTGGGGAACCCTGACAACATTTCACTGATAGGCTGCTTATTTTAAACTCGATTAAATAAACACTAAATTCAACTGGAAAATCAAAAAATATATATACTTTTAACCATTGCAATATACGATACAGCTTAAACATGAAAAAATTCTTTCATTAAAGATGCAAAAATACTATCTTGAAAAAACTTAAACGTGGCGAGATAGTGAAGCTCGCATTTAAACTTAAAAATTACAAAACATTCAACGAGAATTTCACTGAACGAGTAATCTCTAGCGTCTCGAATCTGTTGAACTTTCTAAGTACAGCTTTTAGTTCCTCCCCTTTAAAATCTCATAGACGCCCAAATGCGTGAAGACATTGAGCTTTCAGAGTGTTTTTTGTTCAAAATTTCACCAGTTAAAGTTGTCTATGCTAATAAATATGGCCAATAGACAATTGGAGAAGCTTCAATGAACGCAATCAAACCGAAAAAAAAAAACAATTGAATAATTTCAAAGAGAACAAAAATGCAAATGAAATTAAAACTCAACTGAACTTAGAAAAACTCAAAATTCACTACGAAAAGTCATATCTGAGTCAGAACAGTCATGCCTGAAAAAAACTACAAAAAGACCTTAAGACCTCAATAAGTGTAATCACTACGTACTTTGACATTTAAAAACGCCTGTCCTTTTTTATACACAAGTAAAAAAATAGCCAACAGACAGTTGGAAATGAGTCAATGAACGGAAGTTATCATAAAAAAAATAACTGACTTTTCGAAAAAAAATATATCAAAATAGATGGCCTTAAATCTTTTCGAATTTCTAGAACATTTTGTGATTGACATTGTTTTGATAAAATCAACCGATTTGAGAAAATTGGATCCATAAGTAAAATTTTTATTTCGCTGGGAAATCTGAAAATTTAATTCCACATTAATTAAATTCCAACTACAGTTCCATCACGCTTTTCCTGACTCTTTCACTTTTGCTATTCGATAATTGAATATAATTTCCTTTTAGGAAAGGAAACGAACTGAACTGAAATCAAAAGTCAAACCGCGAAAGAGTAAATTTGAGCCTGAACAAACTTTAAGAATTTTCTTGAAAAAAAAAATTATCGCGACCTATGGAAGAGTCTGAACTATGTTCATCATCTCTTGAAAAATTTGTCTTTTTCTTACTAATATCATAATAAATGGCTGAACCGAAAGAAACCTTTTTCTGTATAGACATACATAGTGCGCAGGATATTGTTTATTTTTTTTGTTTATTTTCGTCAAATATTTTCTATATTCACGAACTTAAATTAGATTTCACTTTGACTTGAAGCCCCCAAGAATCAAAGCTACAGAAGCGTAGAGCGCTAAACTTGATATAGTTGTTAAACTCCAAATCGCTATTATTTTTCCAATTAATACGAAATAAAATTTTGGCTCTTTTCCAGTTTCCCACCCCCCTCAAAAAATAAAATAAAACTGTTCAAAAATTGTTCAAACGACTTTTTGCATGTTAAAAATGCTGTTCAAATTTGTTCTACTGTTCACGCTCACACGTTTTAATGCAGTTTATAACATAAAAAGTCATTTCAAATAGACTTTCATATATTGAATTTCACAAAATATCAAAGGGGGGACTGGAAAAGAGCCAAAATTTTGACAATAGATGGTTATTGAGCTATCAAACCAACGACAATGAAAATGTATCCAGCGTCAGTTTTTATTGATAAAATGGAAGAAAAAGCACAGACTCCCTCCAATAAAAGTGTTCCAGGACACTGAAAACAAATTAAAGACAATCCATTTGTTTCAAATGACTAACATGTCATTTTTCCTCCCCCCTCCTCTCACAAAAGCATGATTTTTATGATTAAACGAGTAGTTTTACACGGTAATACAAGAAGATCAAAGATATCAAAAAGTGGAATAGCAGGCCATTTTTCGTAACAATTCTAACAGTTTGCACAAAATTAGTACCAGAATCAACTAATTAAACTAATTTTGTAGCCCATTTTGTGGGAGGTTGGTCTTAGAACAGTGCCACTAATGGCTACACAGCTAGTTAATCACGATACACCCAACGTCAACGAGAGATGAAAAATGTTCTTGTGCATTATTATACAGCGCATCGGGGCAATCCCTCTCAACATGCCTTTTTAAGTCATAATTTGTGCAAGAGTCTATCTAAAAAGCCCTGTGTGTCGAGCATCACCCGTAAAGCATTCGAAATGAACGCTGAAAACAAAGTCTAACTTTCAAGTGTTTGGAGGAAGTTCTACCGATCAACTCAGCTCTTAGATTCTCAGCTTCGGACTTGGTCTCTTGTAATTCCGAGTCCACTAAGACACAGTAGTTAATCAACAGCTGAAGAGCCTCGTCGGCGTTTCCACCATTTTCAGCAGCCAGCTTCTTGAAGTGACACACTCTTTTTTCCATTTCGTTACTGGCAACAAACAACTTCGATCAACTATAACAGATTTGTTTCAAGTTTTGCATTACTCCACGCGTTTGAAAAACAAACCAATGAAAGAGGACGAGCTTAAGCAGATGCAGAATGTTATTCAACTTGTAACAGCAACGGTGAAAGTTGCCCATGAAATACTATCATATCTGGAAATTATATAGGTGTAACCTATATACAGTGCTGATTTAAATTATCCGAACGACACGAATAAAAATTGATATCTAAAAAGTGTTTGTCTCAAAAAATTGGGTTAATTTTTGTCGAAATAAGATGTGGACAATGCTTGCTTAGAATTTTATGGAGCAATTTATAAAGCGAAACTAAGGCCCAAAATGTTATCCCACAAATGATCATTTTTGGCTTTTTTAGTCATTGAGAAATTACGCCAAAACTATTGGTTCAGTTAGTGACTATATCAAATCGATCCTCTTCTGTAGCCCAATAAAGGAGATAATCTTCTCAAGTTTGTATACATCAAACTAGTTTCAAATGAGAGGAAAAAAATGTCATTTTCTACATAAAATACCGATTTTTTATATATTAACAATTTTTAATCGTTTTGCGCCAACTTTTAGAGATTATAGTTAAAAATCAGTTAAAAAGATTATGGATGATGCTTAAGATGGGTCACTAAACTCAATGTGAGCGACCCAATTTAAGCATCATCTGAAATATTTTTAACTAGTCTTGAGAAAAAGAAGAAACACTTTACTTTAATTACTATACAGAATAGTCAATGCATTAGTATAGTAACCGTGTAAAATTAATGCATTAGTATAGTAACCGTGTAAAATTAATGCATTAGTATAGTAACCGTGTAAAATTAATGCATTGGTATAGTAACCGTGTAAAATTAATGCATTAGTATAGTAACCGTGTAAAATTAATGCATTAGTATAGTAACCGTGTAAAATTAATGCATTGGTATAGTAACCGTGTAAAATTAATGCATTAGTATAGTAACCGTGTAAAATTAATGCATTAGTATAGTAACCGTGTAAAATTAATGCATTAGTATAGTAACCGTGTAAAATTAATGCATTAGTATAGTAACCGTGTAAAATTAATGTTAGTAACAAATTTAGATTAGTTACTCATGTTTGAATAAAATGAGACGAAATTATCACATCAATAAAATCATCAATTTAGGAATGAAAATGTGAAGTAAAAAATTGTACACCCGTAAAAACTAAAATTATTAAAACATTATCAAACTGAACATATAATTGCAAATCAACTAATGAAAACGGAATTCACGCCATGAAATATAGGATAAGATTTCATTTCAGTAGTGTAGAAATCTTTTAATTTTTTATTAAACGTTGATGTGGTAATACCAAAACTTCGTTATTTACTGGGCAACGAATTCATTTTTTGACGTCAGGTGAAAACATTTTTTTGAACATTGGTTATCAAATATTATTTGGTTTGTGTTTTTCGCTGCCTTCAAAAATTGCGGGTTGTTCTGGAAAAGAATTGGTTTGTCTGTAACCAAGAGCGTCCTGTTCAAAAAATTGGCAAAATCCATTGGGTTTTGATGAGCTCGAACGTGTTTCCAACTGTCGGCTGGTAGCATCTGTTGACTTTTTGCATTAGTAAATATCGACTTGAATTAAAATAACTCAAATAAAAGCTATTGTCATATCAATCCAAGCATTGATATTACCAACTTCAGAGTTTTAATTGAATCCATCAATGAACAACCCAAAAACAATTATAAATAGATCCTGTCTCGAAATACTAAAAGTAGCTAGTCAACAATTGGCTGCGAGTAATGAAATACGAGGTCCTGCTTTCAGTCTTGTCCTGTCACACAAAGCTGCTCCATTTTCCTTGGTGTGCAGTGGCAAAGAAACTCTTGCTCGTATAGAATCATTCTTGAAAAAAATCCATGCAATTACTCGGGCATCAATAGTGCTCCGATTGCAGATAAGATTTTTCACGGGGCTCCTATTTCCTTCTCATCTGGGGGATGAAATCGGCCATTTGTATCAGCTTAGCTCTTGTAATGAACAGATGCTATTTGAACTTTGCTTTTGAATTAGGCAATTTGTATAGTTGGAACTTGTACTAGGTAGGTTGACATTCTGTACAGGTAGGTAGTGCGACCGTACACCAAAACCCCCTGATGCAGAATGTGCTTGATGTTAGAGCCATAGTATTCAACCATAGTGGTTTTGAGAACAAAATGGCGCATTTTTCCTATTAAAGCCTCGGTGTTTTCTAAGCTTAGATCGCATGAAATCAATTAAAGAAATAAAAGAACAGTTCAGTATCTAGGTAAACACCAAGTTATTTGCATGACGGTGCAATTTCTAAAGGTATATTCTTTATATATAATTGCTATTGGAGGTACTATTTAACAGAGGCGAAGCTGAGCTTCGCACATTTTGTGATACAACACGAGAAGAATCGGATAAAAAATCAAAACTATGGAAAAAAAACAAGATCAATCATAATGAATAAGGCTATTTTGAAGTCAAACTTGACGAGAGTTAAATATGAAAATAGCATCGGAAGATAATTTAACTAGCGGTAACAAAGGCGAAAATACCATGGCAAAAACTCTTTAAGCCCCAAAAAAACCAACAAGACTTAAGACTTACGAAAAGTTAATCAGTCCCTTTCACCCTCAAAACACTCAAAAAACTTCATTTGCTCATCATCTGAAACAATATGAGACAGCTAAGCCGATATAATATAGACCAAAACCTATGAAGCCCAAAAAGGGACAAAAAGACGAAAAAACATTCAGATCAACAAGAAGTTATAACGCCCCTCTCGCCCTCAAAACACAGGCACGCACACACACTTTTTTCGCTCGTTGAAAGACGCAATATTATGCCGATAAGCCGATACAAAATAGACCAAAACCTATCAAGACGAAAAAAAAAACAAAGACGACAAAAACATGTTGTGATGAAAAATTTGAACTATAATTAAGAAATTAAGAATCATAGCATTTGGTGGAAACCAGAGGTGAGCATACAAAATAAGTGAGCATTTATTCTGCCAAAAATATTTCGTCCTATATTTGAATTGTTTCAATGCTTCCATTGAAACAGTTCAATAATAGGACGAAATCATTTTGGCAGAATAAAGTTTTTAAGAATATATACGAAGTCAAGGTTAAAAAATAATACAAACAAGCAGCCGAGATAAATCAGTACGTTGAAAGCTGTAATGAAAAAAACTAAAAATCGAACAACCGATGTAGTTGGATGGTAAAAACAAAGCAGAAACAGTCGACTAAAAAAACAAAAGCGCCGAAGTCGAAATTTCAAAAAAAAAACCGAAGAAATATCATTTTAAATCGTTGAACTGAGAATTTATTGGAAAAACACTAATAATGATGTACAGTGGCAGTAATAGACCAATGAGCTCCAATAAACGCACATACTGCATACATTTGTGCTGCATGCTTGCTGAAATCTGTGAACAAAGTTATTTACGGGAAAAAAGTCTAGTACCCGATTGCAATACCCTTGCTTATCGCAAGGATAAAGATACACGACATTAGCAGCCGTACTCTAGCAGCCTCCAACTAAAGGGTTGGGAATTTGAAGAAAGAAAAATAAATTTAATTATTCTGAAAACTTTTTGAAAAAAAAACGCAAAAATTGTCAGATCTGGAAAACTACAAAGAATTGAACAGTCATATTTGGGGGCTAGATTAGGAACACCTGAAAACACTCTGACAGTCCCCTTCCCCCATTACAGGGAAAAAGGCTTCAAAAATCAATTGTAATTTGAAAAAAAAAATTTAAATTTGTAACTTCTAATCTCGAAAACTCAAAAGATTTGAGTAGTCATATTTGGGGGCAAGATTTTCAACCCTTCGAGAGTTCTCTGACACTTTACAATTAAAAGGTCGGGAATTTCAAAATTTGAAAAAAAAAATTGAACTTTTGAGCAGTCACATTTGGAGACAAGATTCGCAATCCTTGAGAGTACTCTGACCGCACCAAATTACAGGGTTGGAAACTATTTTTCCAGTTGGAGTTTTCTGAAAAACTGAAAAAATAATAAAAACTGTCTCACCTCATACACTAACCGGATTTGGGCATTTTTAATTGGAGCCCAAATTCGCAGCCCCTGGGGAAACTTTGACAGCATCCCTTTAAAGTTGCTATCTTATAAATCGGTGGAACAAACGCTAGATTCAAACTAGTAAATCGAAAAAAAAAAATCTTATGCATTGCATTATACGATATAGCTTAACCACGCATACATACGTTATGCCCTTAACTGTTGCACAAAACGCTTAAACAAGGCACGATACGTGTCACGCGCATTTAAATAAAGTATAGATTTATTCAAAATAAACTACCTACTTATAGCTTGACCTATTCATAGCTATGTTTGTGTCGTCGGAAAGTCTAAACTCTTCGCTAAAATCGTAGACTTTTGGAAGGTCGTTAATCAATATAGGAAACAGAGGACGCCCAAAGGGATCCCTGCGGGACACGACATTCCAGACTTCACCAATCGTTTCGCCAATTTGTCTGCAGGGCTTCAAGTTAAATTTCATGCCAAAGCAAAATTTTCACTCACACCAAATTTCTCAATTATGAAACAAAATTATGAAACAAGTAGGTCAAAAGCTTTTATAAATCAAGTTCTCTTCGGTACTTGAGTTTTATCTCACTGTTACTTTGCCGAAAGCATCAATGTTATTGTTTTCTTTTGGAAACCAAACTGTTTCATTTAAATGAAAGAAGTAGCTGTTCAAATGATAGTTCAATGAGTTGTTCAGAAATGACTTTCATTTCAGGCTTAGCCTAATTGTTGCGATAAACTTGGTACGCTTGTAAGAAGGGCCTTTAGAGACGGGATTTTAGAGGGTACGGGATTTTAGAGACAAGCTCGTCAAGCCGCGATACACCCCCTCTACCCGGACATCCCCGCCGGAACCTCCACCCGTAAAAAACCAGGTTGTAATCGCTTTCATTTCTTTTTTATTTGTTTTTTAAATCTAT